TTCAATCTAGACCCAAATATGTTATGTAACCTGGGAACTTAGTACCACTGCAACAAAATGGTTGATCTTAGGATATGTATATATTAACAATACTTAAAATGTAAAACATAGCCTACTTACTCCATGGAGGCTGAAGCAGACTCAGAGTGGATGTCCGCAAGACACGTCTGCACCAAGATCAATTTGTACGACTGCATCCGCATTCCCATTTTTATACAGCAATGCCAGGCGGAAAATGGTGCTCACATCAAACTGTTTTGTAATCAGAACTGAGCTGATAAACCTGAAAGTAAGCGCAATAAGTCGCAAGAACGCCCATCAGCCAGAATGCCATTAACGACTGGGCGGTGGCTTCCCTGGTGGAGAAAAAGCTTGTTTAGCCATGCAACTAGCTTGTCACACTTGCTAGTATCCATTCAAACTGTAGTATATGAGGAAATTTTACATGAGAAATGCATGCAATCGGTACACTGCCCTATGAAATCCCCACAGTCTGGGAATAGTGAGCACGCAGTCTGCGCGGCCTACAGAGTACACCCCAGTAAGTGGCCCTTTTATTCTTCTTTGATAGAAATATTGATCAAGACCGAGAAAGCCCAGTTTTCCCAATGGCATGAACAGCTTAAAGATTAGATCAAGGGTTCAGAGTGATGTTCTTCAAGTGTTTCATTCTGTTAAAGTAGTTTCTCTAAAAAAAATTGAATGTCACCCAAAACTAGCAAGATAGAATTTAATAAAAAAAAAAGAACTGTTACCATGAAATGCACTGCAAGAAAGACTGCTAACTTGTCTGTTGTCTAGCACACAGCCACAGACATCCTCCATGGAGGAAGGTACTCCGCAAATGGTCACAGTTTGAAAAGCTGACTGTTCACAGAGTTCTGCCTCCGAGCATATTTTGCGAAGTTAAATGGAAGAAAAAAGTGTGATAGAAAGCTTTGTGAAGCTATTCCTGAACGGGAGACAACATCAAAAGTGCCTTACCTGGGCTAAAGGGGAGAAAACATTACTGATGCACCATTTTCCAACATCTTCTCTTCAGATAAAAGTAAACTCTGGGCTGGAGGTCCAATGTGAAGCTTCCATAGTCAATAAAGATTTGGGGGGCCATCTCAGCTGCTGCTGCTGCCCATCTGTGTTTTCTCAGGTCTAAAGTCTCCCCTCCGTGCTTCACTCTGATGGCAAGCTTTATTGACTGGCTAGCAAACTCATCTGACTTAAACCCCGTAGAGAATCTGTGGAGTTTTGTGAAGAGGGACATGAGAGACACCAGATCCAACAATGTAGAGAAGTTGAAGTTTGCTAGTGAAACAACCTAAGCTTTCTTAAACCTCAGCAGACACGTTCTGTTTACCTCCCACTCACCACTGACACAGTAATTCATGCAAAAGGACCTATGATCAAGCCTAAGTCATACAATGTACATTAAATAAATATACTTTTCAGTAGTAGGTCAATGTTTCTGTAATAAAAATATGTTTCACCTTTTGAATTGGATCACTGTATCTTAAACAGGGATTTTCAACTAGATTCTAATTTATGAAGATGCACCTGTATGTGGAGGCTCCTGTTCTGTTTAAATGTCACAAATAGGGATGTGAATCATCTCTACTCATAGGAATAAAAGGTGAGCGAGTTTTCCAGTCTGATTAACTTTGATTTTTAACTGGAGGTTTAAGTCACACTCTGTTCCCATTTGCAGGTGACTGCAGTCTGGGCATTATCTGGTTCACTGACATTACATACTAAAGTCATCTTGGAACCTCTGCAGGAAACATGTGAAAGCATTTTTATGTACAGTACCAGTTACAGGTTTGGGCACACTTTCCTCATTCAGCTGTAATTAGTTTGGTGGTTCTGGTCTCACACGAGTAACAAAGCAAATATTGATCTGTTTTTCAGAAGGAATTGAGTTTTAAGATTTCATATTGTTTTTCTAAGGTTAAATCTTGAACTTTAACTTGATCCTATACACAGCATGGAGTTAAAATGAAAATCACAGGAAACAAAATCGGAATTGCTAGGAATGCTTGCAAGTCAATATTCAGCTTGTGACCATGTTGTGGTTGGAATGAGGATTTTGTTCCTATATGTATGGTATGTTGTTCTAGGAGATTCTTCAGCTTTTTTGTCTGCATGGTGCTTTTAGAGTCAGTCCTCAGAGTTTCTATAGAAACCAAGTTATAACTTGGTTTCATTTGAGGAATGAAATGCAGTATGGAGGAGTCATGTGATATTGTCGGCCTGTTTTCATGTAAAGACTGTGAAACAATTAGGCAAGCTGCACTCAAATGAACAACTCAGACAAAATTTGAAGTCAAAGATTTTTTTTTTTTTTGTTTTGTTGTTGTTTTTTATATAAGTCACGGTCAGTACCGAAGATGTCAGTCAAAAAGGCAGAAGTATCCAAATCAGTGGGCAGAGGCATAGTCAAAAGAGCACAAGGGATCAACACACTAGAGGCAAAAATCTAAAAAAAACATGCCTGGACTGCTTGGTAGTGGAAACAAAATGGAATGGAGGGAAGGGAACATAGTGAATAAATAAATATGGGAGGTGAAGATGACTGGGAGCAGGTGAGTTCAGTTAAGCATGCTTGAAATCACAGTAGAGCTGTAACGATTCCTCGAATGATTCGAGTACCTCGATTATTAAAATTTCTTGAGGCAAATTATCTGCCTCAAAGCTTTGTTAAATTATGTTTCACTGTTTAGCGCACCTTGTTGCACCCAGTTGATTATTTGTGTTGCACAACGCTATCACTTCTGCCTGTGAGTTGTTGACAAATGCTTGTAGCTAGCAGCATAATATCCAAGTTCGGTCGGGGGGGATTTTATTGACTGATGATTATGTCCGAGTTTATATGAAATACAACGGCCTTTCTCTTCCTGGAGCTGCTGCCTGCTGCATGGCGGGTGTTTGCTTACAGGTAGATAGACAATTTCTAAACTACAGAAAAGTAATTGTTAGAGACAAATATGAAAAATTGGACTGATGTTCATTTAAGATATTAAAACTGCTATTGTGGCAGTATTCATCAGTATTTTACTTTATCAATTTTTTACTTAGCAATATTTTTTTATTACTCAATTAACCCTCAGAATAATGGAAAGATTACTTGATTACTAAAATAATAATTGACAACAGCCCTAAATCGTAGTCAGCAGAGTTGGGGCAGATAAAAGCTTTCATATAACAATGTAGAGATTTTGCAATATTAATTTTTCCAAAACCTGTCTATGTTTGCTTTATTTATGTGAAATCTAAAGGACCAAGTGCTGTTCATTTGGCAAAACAAAGGGAGTTATATTTATTGTGAGTCAACAATGTTGGCGTTATTAAATATTTGAAAAATAATAATTTCTTATTCAATAGTTTCTCCCATCTAATAAATGTATTTAAATTAAATTATACATGACTGTTTTTTATTACACAGTTAAAAACTGAAATCAATAATTTCAGTTTTTAAATAAATACCGTAGTCATTATTGACTTCAGCAGAAACCCACACATGAATACTGCCACAATTCTGGGTGTTTGGGTTTTGCGGTATGTTGGTACATTTAGATTATTTGTTTTCCAACAGCCATTTTGTCCAGTTCCTCGGTTACACTTCGGTTAATTGTCTTCCCTCACAGCTGCAATCAGTTTCTAATCAACCACATCAACAAGGAACATGGGAAACATTGTTCGCCAATCAGTTTTCCTGCATAAATATCCCTGCCAGACAAGTTGGATCCAAGGCCATGTTATTTTTAATTTACCCCTGGACTTTCAATTTTTATCTTTTAAATGAAATGTTTGAGTTTCACCAGCCAGCATCCTCCTTTCCTATCAATATGAATATTAGTTTTTAAGGTGTTAAGGTTTGTTTTAAGTATACCTGTGGCCAAAATGACCTACAGTACTAGTAAGTTTGCAGGATTTGTATCCTGCTTTGTTTCACAGGCTTTTTCGGGCATTGTTTTTATGGTCTGAGATGCTTTAATGCAATTTTTTAAGGATACTTAAAATATATAGTGTTAAATGACTCCAGAGTTTGAAGCTGCAAATCAGAACTTTTCACCTGTGAGTTACGGATTCAACTGACCATCAAAGGATGAAGAATTTCACTGTGTGTTGTAAAATTATTTGTGAAGTTTACACAGTGAGAGCCACAGAAGTGTGATAGATGACGTGATTTTTTGTAAGTGTTGGAACTCAGAAGGGATTATTGATCTCCTCTGATCCTTTTTGAGGTCCACTTCAAAACAGAATGGAAAATTTGTACATTCTGTTTCAGAGGACAGTCACCAGCTAGATGAAAAACAGTGGTTTCAGTTTTAGAGCAGTTTTACCAGCTGGAAAGACAATGGAGGGAATCCCCAGAGCGGTGAAATCTCCTTCATGTGTCCTCCACAGACTGTTTGATTTATTTATGCACTGGATTTACAATGCACTAAATGCATGTAGGTGCAAACACAACCACCAGGTTCGGGAGATGGGAGCAATTTGCATCTATTTTTGCATCAAATCGCAGTTCTCCTCACCTCAGCCCCAAGCAAAAAACTGCAGCAGGAGTACAATATCTGCATGTTTCTAAATTAATAAGTGGTGATAAATTCTTTAAATGAATTAATTCAGAGGTGATTAAGAAACATTTATTCAAGACAGTCTATTCAATTTAAATATTATTATAAGGTCTCTGTGTAAGTATACTTTCTAACTTATTTATAAAAGAAGAACAACATTTGTCCACGATTACATTAATGTCACTTGAATATAAACGTGTCTTAGGAAAGATTTTCAACTTACTAAGCAAAAACATGACTTCAAACATAATTTATGCAATTTGTTTGGTTTGAGAAATTAATTTTAGGCCCATGACGCAAAAGAGATTCTGCCTTATGTGACATTCCTCACAAAATTTCTTAAACAGTGCATATGTTAATTTGATAATATGTAATCCTTTCTAATCTTTTTCAATTTTCTTTTTTCCATTGTGTTTAATGTTTCTGCAGAGATTGGGAAATATGAAGGCGATGAGCTGAAAAAAGATGCGGACACAAAGAAATACCTTGATATCATCAGCAATAAAAACATCAAGCTCTCTGAAAGAGTTCTTATCCCTATCCAACAGTATCCAAAGGTAAGAAACTACAGCTTCGAATTACTTGACTATTTAAGCTGTATTGCCAATACTGTATGCTTGTTTGTGTGTTGTATCGTCTGTGATTCCAGTGGTTCATTGCTGAATGGAGACTTTTGGTCTGGGCCTCCTTGTTTGGCTGCACCTGTCCACAAGCACTAAAATTTAAAAATCTCCCTGGGCTTGAAACTGCCTTACGGAGAGCTCCCGGATGGTGTCTGTTTATTTTGATGTAGTCATCAAAACCCAAAGTTTTCAGTAGACTAAAGCACCCAAGGGTACAGTGAAGAACAGTGGTCATAAATCACTGTGACACAGTGCTCAGGATTCTGAGTTATGCAATGTCGGTACTGGCAAAGTCTGAAATGTAGCCTAATGAGACTTCTCCAGCAGGCAGTTTAGCATCATGGAGCTGCTGGTTGAGCAAAAGTGAAAAGATTCCCTTTCACTGTAATCACAGAAAGCACAATTTCTAATCACAGATTCATGCACAGGGTATGAATATATTTCACGCTTTAAGTTATTCGTTTCTAATGTATTCATTTTTAGCTCTTCCATTCCGGGCAGTATCGTTAGTTACATCTTTGTGTTATGCTGCACTGTTGGTAATTACTGTTATCAGTCATTACAGTCATCAATATGAAAGGAAAAAAAAAGTCTGAATATTTTAATTATAGTCAGTTAATTATTAATATTAGTTCCTCTGTGTAATATGTTAGACTAAAAGCACTAGAAAGTGTATGAACAAAAAGATGAAGAGTTTTGATGTTACTGTTATGAACAAAAAGATGAAGAGTTTTGATGTTACTGTGCAGAGTTTCCCTTTTAACTATTCAAGATTTAATGGAGATTTTGAGTCTTATTTTTAAATCAGAGATTTTAATCTATTCTAATTTCTTTGCTAGAACTAAATAATATAGTTTTTTTAAAAGTCTGTGATAGGTACTTTTTCTCGAACCTATATAAAAAGACCACAGACAACGTATATGAATTTTATAGACAAAGCTTTTGCAAAAGGAGAACTCTCCATCAACAACCTCATCAGCCGTTCACAGAGAATTCTGATCTCCTTCCACGCGAGCCCCTGTTTTATTGTCAAAGCAGAACAGCCAGAAAAAAACAACAGAGGTCGTAAAACTTCTAACCTAAATAACCCAGCAACTCAGTTCCAGGTGTGATATCTGATCGACGATCTGAGCCCAGTTCAGCTCTAGGTCAAACTGTCAACAAAGAGGGAGGATAAACGAGACAAAATACGACTGCTCACAGGCAGTTAGGAGGTATTCTTGTTGATAAAAATTAAGGTCTGGGAAACACAGAGTTAACTGTTTCACATGAAGATGAAACAGTCAGTCATAACCTCCAGGTCAGTTTATACACACATAAGAGAACACTTTAAACTAAAAATCACAATAATACTGATTAACATTAGACTGAATATGAACTAAAGTAAGACTGAATATGAACTAAAGTAATAACAAAATGATAATACCAAAAAATATCTAACAATAACATTATTCTCTTATTATAGAACATTATTCTCTTATTATAGAATATAAGTATAT